CACAGAATGTCTCTGGTATATGGTTGTTCATTATTTTTGTTATTTTCTCGCCTGGTCCATTATACTCCTGCTATGAGTGAAACCATACGGTATTTTTCTTTCTCTCAAAGAGTGATTTTTAAAGAATGATTTTTAACATATATATGATTCATTTAAATTAATCACCCTTAATGGACATTGGGGTGATTTTAAAATTTCAATACTTTGAGCACTGTAATAAGCGTATTAATTAAACACTTATTCAATTATTTCTCTAGGATAAATTGCCCTAAGAGCTACACTTAAAAGTACATATTGGGTCAAAAAGGCCTACAATTAAAAGTACATATTGCCCTGTAAAAAAGTTAACACAAAAGCATACAAGCATGACTGCCTATTTCCTCACACTATGGACAACATTTCTCACTACCTTCTAGTTTGCTATCTTATTGTGTTTTGGAATGGGGCAGAATATATGTAAATGAAACACTTTCTAAAGTGGGCAGAAGTTATAAGAATATTGAAGGATGTTTACAGTTTAACATAAAATTTTTTCATAATAAGCACTGCCCCATACTGTAAAGGAGTACTATGTATGAAAAAAATCCCCATCACCTGCAGTATTCAAATCAAGACTTGCTGTGAATGGAGTAAAGGGGTTGGGTAAACTGTGAGATTCTTCTTGGTCTTGAGAATAATGACACTGGTTTAAGACTGTCTGCATATTTCACTGAAGTAAGACTGAGTTTGGTGTTTTACTTTTCAGTGGTTGAAGGCCTCTCACTATTGGATTTGGGAGTGTCTCCATATTCTGGAGCAGTATTTCATGAAGTAAGTGTTCTTGTTTTCTTTCCTGGCTACTAAGTAGTTTATAGTCCCAGATATCAAAACTTAACCTCTGTTTTGTGCAACTGTTTTAAAAGATCTATTTTTGAAAATCTTTATTTAGAAGCAGTCCTTTTTTAGATGTCCTCTGCATAAGAAGGAGGTTTCACAATTGCAATGAAAATGTTCCAGATTAAGGTTGTAATTTGGGGAAGCACATGAGAATCCTGTATAAATTATTATTTTAATGGCAAATAAATTGTGAACAGTTCCTAGTCCATCAACAGGTTGTATACAGCATGCTTTTTGATAAAAATTGATAGCAGTCACACAATGTCTGGATACTGAGACAGAAAGCCCACCAAAGCTTTGTAACCCATAAAGTTAGTTCTCAGAAATTGTAAAATCACTCTTAGGTCACTGTCATCTCTTGTTTAGGTTACTGTAACAGTTTCCTGACAAATCTTTCTGCATTTTGCTTCTTTATTTTTTTTTTTTTTAAAGATCTTTTATTTATTTAATGCACACAGAGCTACGGTGTAGGCTAGAGGTGCAGGAGTGGGGGGCAGGGGAGGATGAGAGGATTTACCAGAGACAGAGTGGGTAGCAGAACTGACTGAAAGGTAGTTCAGGCAGATTGACTGAAATATATTGCTGAGGGGAGCAGCAGGCAAAACAGGAGAGGTCTGCTGTGCCATATGGGTAGCTCCCTTTTCTGGGATCGAACTCATACTGCAGTGGCTACAGATAGCTTCACAGTGCTGAGACTTAACCCCTTGTGCCACCAGGGAGGCCCCCTGCTCTTTTACCTTTATTCTGCAATTAAAGCAATGTTTCTGAATTGTGAAACGGATTTTGTCTCTGTCCTCTTAGTAGCTTTAAATCCTTGCCTCTGATCCCAAAATAACCCCCCCAACATTTAAGGGTGTACAAAACCTTGTGGTCCTCCTCATCACATTAACTGCATTTCTTTACTCTTGGCCCTTCCCATTGTTAGTGACTATGTCATTTTAAGGTAGAAGTCTTCTAATTTGACTATTTAATACCTGATTTTTGCAGCTGTCCCACTTATGTCAACTTTGAGAACAATTTTTTTCTTTTCCCTTTTCTTTAGTTTTTTAAAAAGTATTCAGTTGGTTCTCTTGGAGGTCACAGTGAGCTCTTGTATAATACAAAGATATTTGTAAGTTGGGGCAGCATATATGACTGCTCCTGTACATGTTACCATCTAATCAAATTGCAGTAATATTTACTATCAGAAACCAGTTATACACAACTTTAAAAATGTTTACTAAGCATATAACTCAGTTACTGGAGACAGATGTGTACAGGCATAATCAGAGAGTAGCTGACTGGCCCTGAGGGCTCTGTGTGCACCTCGGATAGTGTGCTTTCTAGACAGAATCGAAACCCCCGAGGTGGTTCTGACTTTCTCTTATTAGGCACGAGCAGCATATTCCTATTGCCTGTGTGTCTTTGCTCATGCTGCTATCTTCTTATGGAGAGTCATTCATACCTCCTTTGTAGTTGGTCTTACTATTCAGATAGTAACTTAGGTTTTACCACCTCAGAGAACCCATTCCTCATGATATCAGAGTAGGTTAGATGTTCTTCCTGTATCTTCCAATTCAACTTGTGCTTAGTCCTTTTCAAGGCTCATGTCATACTTTTGAAATTGCCCCTATACTTGTTTTATCCACCTTGGCACCAGTTCCTCAGAACAAGTACTGGGACCTTTCATCACTTTGCCTATTCTTAGTGCCTAGCTCTAGATATGCATATATATTATGATCTTTCCTTTCTCTCTTTCCTTTAATAAATATTTGTTAAGAATGCACCAAGTGCCAGCTACTCTGTAAAGTGCTAGGGATACCAAACAAGAAACAGTTCTTGGCCTCATAATAGTTTTATGTCTGGGAGAAACAGACATTTAGTTAGTGAAAAAGAAGCAAATTTCAGAGCAAAGACTATATGCCAGGATAAAGAAGGTCACAACATAATAATCCCAATGTTAATGTACCTAAATAGTTTCAAAATATATGAAGACTGCTGGAAATAGTCTGTCAGGTTCATAATTACAGTTGGAGATTTCAATATCCTCTCAATGATTGACAGATGAAGCAGACAGAAAATCAGCAAGAATATATAGAATACTTTAACAGCATTATCAACTAGCTTGACCTCACTGATATCTATAGACCATTCCATCTAAAAATAACCAAACACATAATCCTTTCAAATGTACATAGAATGTTGCAAGATAGACTGGGTATTCTGGGTGATAAAACAAGACTAAATAAATAAAATTTTTAATAGTTTATTTTTGCATCATTTTGTGCATTTTTCCATCTCAGTTGTAATCCCTGTGGGCTTCCCATCACCAGATCACCCATGTGCCATCACCATAATCGAGTGCATTTCTCTTCCCCTACTTTTTTTGATCCCATTCCCCACCCCACCCCCATAAAATGTCTCTGGTATATAACTGTTCATTGTTATTATTATTTTCTCACCTGGTCCGTTATACTCCTGCTATGAGTGAAACCATCTGGTATTTTTCCTTTTCTTTCTGGCTTATCTCACTAAGCATGATCTTTTCCAGCTCCATCCATGTTGCTGCAAAAGGCATGTGGTTTTTTTTTCTTTTTGGTTACTGAGTAATATTCCATTGTGTGTATGTACCACATCTTTTTAATCCAGGCATCCTCTTTTGGGCATTTGGATTGTTTCCTTGTCTTTCCAGTTGTAAATAAAGCAGCAATAAACATGAGAGTGCAGGTATCTTTTTGAGTCAGTGTTTTTGTGTCTTTTGGGTAGATACCTAGGAGTGGGATTGCTGGGTCATATGGAAGCTCCATGTTTAGCAGTTTGAGAAACCTCCAAATAGTTTTCCATAGTGGTTGTACTTGTTTGCATTCCTCCAGCAGTGCAGGAGAGTTCCTTTTTCTCCACATCCTCGCCAACATTTGTTGTTGCTACTTGTTTGAAGATGTGCCATTCTTACTGGTGTGAGGTGATATCTCATTGTGGTTTTAATTTGCATCTCCCTTTTTACGAGTGATGTTGAACATTTTTTCATATGCTTGTTGGCCATCTGCCTTTGGGAGGAGCAGCTTTTAGTGGAGCTGGAAATTCCACTCTCTTGGACTGATTGCACTGGGGGAAGGCCTGTCATCACCAATCTTATGGAGAGCCCTTAGTGATAAGGAACAGAATCCTCCTGCCAGCAGCCAGCTTGAGTAAGCTTGGAAGCAGATATCCTGGCCCATTTTGGCAACTGCAATTTACAACCTTTTAAGAGCCTCCATGCTAGAGTAACCCAGTTAAGCCTGGGTTCCTAATGCTCAGTTACAGTTTAAGGTAATAAATGTGTGTTGTTTTAGGATAACTTGTTACACAGAAATAGATAACCAGTAGTACACCTAGGAAATGAATATACATAAACATACAAAGAACTGAAACACTCACACACTGAGTTTGGGGAGGAGAAGAGAAACTTGTACATGAAATTGAAAAGGGGGAAATCAAGAGAATGTTGGACATGGAAGCCAAATGATGAAAGTGCTGTAAGACAGAGTAAAAACCATGTAAAATGCTACTGCAAGTTTGAGAAAACTTGGGCAAAAAAGTCATCATTGATTTGTCAAATTGAAATCTTCGGAAACTTTGGAAACTAAGTTCAGTGGAGTAAAGGGACAAGAGGCTGAATGCATAGAGGCAAGGAAGTGGAAAAACAGGATAGGTAAACCTTTTTTGTGTTTTAAAAATTTATTTTTTATTAGTGCATAGAAGAACTGGGATATAGGCCAGAGGTACAGGGATGAAAGGAGTCACCAGAGAGTGGGGAGCAGAATAGGTAGATCTACTGCAATACACTGCTAAGGAGAACTGCAGATGGGACAGGAGAGGTTTGCTGGCCATGTGGGTTAGCTCCTTGGCTAGGGATCCAACTCATGCTGCAGTGGCTGGTGGATAGCTTGATAGCACTGAGACTTTAACCCCTGTACCACCAGCGAGGCCCAGATAGATAAGTTTTTTGAGGAGTTTTGCTTTAAAGATAGGTGGAGAAATGGTATGTTAGCTGGAGATGTCAAACAAGGACTGAAAATATGAGAATCTGTATATTTTGTGTGGATAGAGAATCCTGTGGGAAGAGAAAAATCCTGTGGCTAATGTAAGTAATAGAGGGGTGTCTATGGCCACACCACCCTGAATGGTATGACCAGTCTCGTCTGATCATCCAGTCTCTTCCGATCTCAGAAGCTAAGCCGGGTTAGGCCTGCTTAGTACTTGGATGGGAGGAATAAAGGGTAAATGAATGAGCAGTGCTTTTGAGTAGGCACCAAAGGATGGATCCAGTTCATAGATGGAGGATTCACTGTAGGTAGGAGGACAGGAATTTCATCCATTGTTAATAAGAGATAGGTATTGGTAAGGATATAGCAAGCCGGTCAACTGAGAAGTAGGAAAATATGGTGGCTCTCATCTAACTGCTTGTCATAGTTGGAAAAAATGAGATTGTCAGCTGGATGGAATTTAGAGGTTAGGAGTGGAAAGGTGTGAACTAGTCTTTTCATGAAAAAGAAATTGAATGGATAAATGAAAGAGCTATGTTGAGCTACTTCATCATCATTTAAATGTTGTTTCTTTGGCAAAATGCATTTTTAGGTACAGTGAGGGAGCCTCGTACACATTATTACTCCTTATCAGGTTATGCAGGTTGTGTGTGTGTGGGTGTGTGTAAGAGGAGATACAGGCATAAGGTAGTAATTTCCTGCTACCAAAAGTATGTTAACTCTGTGTACTTTATAACAACCCGTTTTGGACTGTTAACCTTTAAGAACCCTGAATTAAAGGGCAAGAGTAGTTGCTTCCCCCGTGTACAGTGATTATAGTGATAGGGAATGCTCTCATACCTAAATGTGGGTTAATTTGCATATAGCGTGGGTATTCACAAGTCAAGAGCTACTTGTATTTTAATATAATTTTTCTAATAATGATGTCAAGCCAAATGATAAGAACAGTTGAAGAGAAAGTCTGTCATTGCTTTGTGTTGTTTCTTAATTTTCAGTAGTCTTTATTATCTAATTCTTGGGAAAAGGTAAGTCTGCTAATAGGCTTCTTGAGTAATATTTTGTTATTTTTGAGACCTACTTAGTGGCATTCTAAACCGTCAAAACAATCAAAACACTTTGAAAGTCTATTGGTAATATACATATCAAGTTACCACTTCCTACTGATAAACATAAATGCAAAATGCAATTCATTAGTAGATAGTTTTAAAACTGTAATTCTTTTAGAACTTTGAAAAGCAAAGCAGATGCCCATTTTTAAAAATGTATAAAATTATCTTAGGTAGGTAACATATTGAGGTTTACTGTATGCTAGGCACTGTGCTAAGTGCTTTTGCATATTACCACTTAATCCTCTCAAGGACCCTGTGAAATAGGTGACTATTCTTACTTTACAGCTGAGTAGAATAAGGCTCAGAGGGAAGAACAACATGCTCAAAGGTACACAGGTGGAACCTAGTTTTTTTTTTTTTTAAGATTTATTTATTTATGCATACAGAACTGGGGTACAGACCAGAGGTGCAGGAGTGGTGAGAGGATTCACCAGAGACAGAGTGGGGGCAGAACAGGCCGACTGATGAAGTACACAGCTGAGGGGAGCAGTGGGAGTGTCAGGAGAGGTCTGCCGGGCCATGTGCATCACCTCCGGGGCAGGCGGGGATCGAACTCATGCAGAAGTGTCTTTAGCTTCTTAGTGCTGGGCTTTAACCTGCTACGCCACCAGGGAGGGCCTGGTGGAACCTAGTTTTAAACCAAAGTGTGATCCCAAGTAAAAATGTGTCCTTCAACACTGTAAAGGTCATCAACAAGTTTCTTAATGAGAACAACTAGAGAGGCAGGATAAATATAGAAAACATGTGTTAGAAGGCAGTTGCAAAGTACCAAGATAGCCACGACCCAGGACTCAAAGGCAAAAATTCCCAGAGGGAAAAGTGTGGAAAAAGTAAGAATGAGTCTGAGTTGCTTTCTTTTGATGTATTTACCCATTTGTGGCACACAGACTGAGGGAGAGAAACAGAAATTAGCTATTAAGAAGCTAAGAAGCCAAGCAGGACTATTGGCAGTTTTATAATGCTGGGGAAATAAAAACCTGAATGCATGTTAGTTGAGGTTTCAGGGCTTTGGTAAAGGACTCGATTTCCAGTTAGCAATTGGGATAGACTACATAGACCAATCTTACAAAGACTAAATCTAACCTCAAATGAGCTAAATTCCTAATTGGATTAAGATGATGCAGTTATATTCTAATTGCTTGCCAGAAGCTTAAAGAAATTCTTTCTGGAATAGACTCAACCAGAATTTCTACACTTTTATATACAATGTTCATCATCCCAAAATTACTGAACATAAGAAACAAACAAAAATTAGGCACTCAGAACAGATTCACAGGTGACCTAGGAATTGGAGTTAATCAAACTTGCACTTTGAAATAACTGATCAATGATAGATATGTTCAGAATATAGAGGATAAAATAATTTTACCATGAAACTGAAATATACAAAAATTAAATTCTAGATTTGGAAGACAAGTTCAGGTTAAGAATGTGATACACAAATTTGACAGAGGATGACACAAAATTAAGCGAGGATAGTGATCTGGAAGATGATAGAGGAAAGAAACAGAGAGAAGATATACAAATGGAGTTCCAGAATGGCAAAAGAGATAGAATGAGTTAGAAACAATATTTGAAGAGATTAGTGGCTGAACATGGTTTCAAAATTTGTGAAAGATTTCGGTTCAGGAAACTATACGCTCAAGTGGCAAAAACTCAAAAGAAAGGCTTATATCATAATAAAACCATGCAAACCAAACATTAAAAGCAGCTAAAGGAAGATAGCTCTCAAAAAAAAAAAAATGAAATGATGGCATCCAGAAGACAATATAAAGGCATCTTTATAGTACTGAAAGAAAATATCTGCCAACATAGAATTCTCTGTTCAATGAAAATCTCTTAGAAATGGAGGCAAAATAAGGAATTTTCTAAGTAAATAAAAATTTATAGACTATATTGCCTGCAGACTTGCATTTAAAAACAGTACAAAAAAGGTCAGAAGGATTGTAATCCTAACTAGCATCATCAAAGGTGGGCTGAATAAGTAACAGTGAAAAAGGTAAGTATATGAATAAGTACTGTCTATATATACACAATAATAATAATAGGATCTCCCTGGTGGAGCAGGGTTTAAGTCACAGTTCTCTCAAGCTATACCCAGGCACTGCAGAAAGAGCTTGGTCCAGGCCAGAGAACTGACCCACATGGCACAGCCAACCTCTCCTGTTGTGCTCACTACTCCCCTCAGCTGTCTTTCAGTGTGCCTGCTTTTCTCCCCACTCTGTCTCTGGTGAATCCTCCTATCACCCTAAGCACCTCTGGCCTGTACCCCAAGTCTTGTATGCATAAATCAAATCAATCTTTAAAAAATAATAATAATGTCTTGTGGTTTTAAAATATATGTAAACATAAAGATATAACAACAGTAAAAGAAAAGCCTAGGAAGAACTATATGGAATTAAAGTATTCAAAGGTTCTTATAGTGCATAGAAAGTAGCAAAAATAATTATATTGTACTCTAGTTAAAGTGAAGGATATATTTTATAATCTGTAGATTAACTATTAAACGTAGTAGCTAAATGTGTAACCAACAGGCTAATAAAAGGGAAAATGAAACGGCCCTGCCTGGTGGCGCAAGTGGTTAGGACGCAACACTGCAAGCGGGTGCAAGTTGGATCCCCCACCCCAGAGGAGATCCATGATCCACATGGCGGAGGTGATCCATATGGCACAACAGATCTCTCCTGACGAGCCTGCTGCTCTCCTCAGCAGTGTACTTTGTTGATTTGCCTGTTCAGCTCCCCACTCTGTTTCTGGTCAAGCCTCTCACTGCCCCTGCACCTCTGGTCTGTATCCTAGTACTGTATGCATAAGTAAATAAACCTAAAAAAAAGGAAGGGCCCTCCCTGGTGGCGCAGCGGGTTAAAGTACTGCACTAAGAAGCTTAAGCCATTGCGGCATGAATTAGATCCCCACCTGCCCCGGAGGTGACCACATGGTGAGGCAGACCTCTCATGACCCGCCTGCTGCTCCCCTCAGCAGTGTACTTCGTTGATCTGCCTGTTCTGCTCCCTACTCTGTCTTTGGTGAATCCTCTCACCCTCCACATCTCTGGCCTGTACCCCAGTTCTGTATGAATAAATAAATAAATCTTAAAAAAAAAAAAAAGGAAACTGAAGAAATTAAAAATAATGCAGAGGTGGCCTAGAGGAAGAAACACTAACCACGTAAAACTTCTCAGAGAACTGAAGAAGGGAAAACATTTCTGGACTTATTTTATGAATTTAACAGTCTTGGTCCACTGTGGTATTCCCCTTGGCTGTTATATGACTTAGAACTAAACTCCACTGCATTCTTTTAGTGTGTTAATAATTCCTAAACAAATAGTTAACACGTGTCAGATTTTGTTGATTTCTTTTACTCAATTCAGCAGATAGTCCCAGTTGGTACCAAATAATCAATGATACTAAATTATTTCTCATCAGGGCCCTCCCTGGTGGTGTAAAGGGTTAAAACACAACACTATGAAACTATCCACAGACACTGCAGCAAGAGTTCAATCCTGGGCCAGGGTGCTGACCCACATGACGCAGCAGATCTCTCCTGTCTCACTGCTGCTCCCCTCAGTGGTGTATTTCAGTCGAACTGACTGTTTTGTTCCTCACTCTGTCTCTGGTGAATCCCCTCAACCTCTGCACCTCTGGCTGTACCCCAGTTCTTGTATGTATAAGTAAATCAATCTTTAAAAATAAATAGATAAATTACTTCCCATCATGTGTACACTGACCAGGCAATGTAAAAAAGTATCCGAAAGACAGATTTTTGCTGACAAGTAGCCTCCTCTCCATCTCCTACTCTAGAAACTGGCTGTGGAATATTTAACTAAACTCTTCTGTTTGTTTTTCTCCTGCAGACGCCATTAATAATATACCTCTTTCATTTCCTGATTGACTATGCTGAGTTGGTATTTATGGTAAGTAACCTTTCACATAAAATCAATGTGTATATATTTTTAATTTTTTATTTCCTTGTTTCTAAGAAAAATCTGTTTTAGGAGCTTGAATTTATCAATGTAAAACAAAAATCCATCTTTAATTTATACACATTAAATATTGTAATATAACTCATTGAATCTTATATTCAGTGAATAAATTATAGTTTATGACATCTGACCTGTTTAGTTCCTCATACTGTTTAGAACTTGATTTCTGTACTATCTAGACTTGTAATTTCTAGCTCCAAGATTCTATGGATGATTTTCATTCTGGTGTCAGTATAGCAGGCATGCTGAACTTCCTAAAATTTCTGCCAAGAGATTCTATGAATCATTATGGAAGAGGACGCAAACCTAAGAAGACTTTCAGGGGCAAGAACTTCAAAACTGAGATGACAAGGCTAGGTTTTGAGAACATAGTAATTTTAAATACTTGCCTAATCTATGGTTGAAAACCCTGGGTCTAGAAATACCTAGAAGAACCACTGAGGTTTTCCTTAATAATATTTATGGCTGCTGTTTATTGAGGACTTATTATGTGCTAAGCACTAGGCAGAGCAGAAATTTTTACAGAAAATTTAGGTAACTTGCATTTATGGAGTAGACATAAACGTCAAACTGACATAAGCCTAGAAGGGTCCTAATCCTCAGGGTTTCTTCCCCCCCAAAAGACTTTATCTTTGAGTAGTCAAATTGAGGGTTGAGGTTCTGCCTGACTATAGGAGTTGAGTACTAGATAGACTAACACCATCTGAAAACTCCAGTCCCTGACAGCATTCCATGAATCCTAGTTGTGTTCATTTCCTATTTTTTCTCTTTCTCCTAACAGATAACGGATGCACTCACTGCCATTGCTTTGTATTTTGCAATCCAGGACTTCAATAAAGTTGTGGTAGGTAGTCTGTGGGTGGGACGAAACTGGTGGAATTTGATAGCCTGCTGTTCTCTATTATTATAAAGAATCAAAAGTCAAATATCCCACTGTTTAAAAAATACTAAGTTAGAGTGAAGCTTTTGACCTGCTCAGTCAGGTCTATAGTGACCAGAGCCAAACCCACAAGGTAGCTTTAATAATAGATTACCCAGAGGTCAGCTTAATCTATGTAGCATAACATCCACTCACCTGTATAAATTCAGACTTTCTGGAGTGGCACTTCAATTATGTTAATGAGTACTCTTAAAAAATCTTCCCATTCCATTCATCAGTTCCTCTTATTAGAGGAAAATGAACTCCTGCTTGGAAAATTTAGTATCTATTACATGCCTACTGAAAGTATCAATGTAAACTTTATTGTGAATTCATGTGTAATAGCCAAGGGGGACTGTGTAGTGGGACCATTCTTATTTTCCTTGTTTCTGGGAGGGTTAACAGATAAGCAATGTGTTCTATCCCTGTCATTATTTTAAAAGTTGGCTGTGTTCCTCCTTTATTGGCAGGAAGCCAATGAGAGGATTTAGACTGGGGTGAGAGAAGGCTGCATCCCATGGGTGTCAGTGATTCATTTCTCACCGTTACCAAGTAATAGGACTAGAAATAGTAGTCTGCCTTTCTGTGGCACTGGCCATCAGTAACAAGTAAGCTGGTCAATTCTAGAATTTTAGATCTCAAAGAGATTTTTAAAATATTTAGATTGAGGGTTCTTAACTTGGGGACCATTGATAGGTTTAGTAGGTCTGTAAAGCCCTTAAAATGGTATGAAAAATAGTATGTGTACATGTCATTTTTTTTCCAAGTGGAGAGTTGGTAGCTGTTATCAGGTCTTACTAAGACCAGAGATTGTACACTTTAAACTAGTAGAATATGTGATACATGGATGCATCTTGAGCGCATTATATAAGTAAGTCAGAGAAAGACAAATACTACAAATATAGTATTTGTAGAATTCTATATGTAGAAGCTTAAAAAGTTGAATTGATAGAAATAGATTGTAGAATGATGGTTTCCAAGGGCACGGAGGAGGGGGAAGTGGAACATGTAGGTCAGGAGGCATAAATTCCTGTTTGTAACGTGAATAAGTTTTGTGGGGACCTGTTATACAATGTGGTGACTGCCATTAATACTAGTGTATTATATACTTGAAAATCATTAAAAGAATAGATCTTAAAGGTGCGCAGCACACACACATGCAGATACACATGTGCAAAAGCTAAAGGAAGTTATATGAATTGAATGATATGCTAGCTAACCTTAGTGTGGTGATTATTTTGCAGTATGTATCTGTGTTAAATCATAATATTGTGTACATTAAACTAATGCAAAGTCATATGCCAATGTATTTATTTATTTTTAAAGATTTATTTATTTATGCATACAGAGCTGGGGTACAGGCCAGAGTTGCAGGGGTGGTGAGAGGATTCACTAGTGACACAGTGGGGAGCAGGACAGGCAGATGTACTGAAATACACTGCTGAGGAGAGCAGCAGGTCAGTCAGGAGAGGTCTGCTGCGCCATGTGGGTCACTTCCTTGGCTGGGGTTCAAACTCGTGCTGCAGTGGCTGCGGAGAGCTTCATAATGCTGTGCTTTACCTCGTTGCACCACCAGGGAGAGTCCCAAATGTCAGTATATTTAAATAAAACTAGAAAAGAAAAATTTACAGGCTGAGGCAAAATGCTTTAACAGGATTCCCTCAAGGGCTTGGAGATGAAATAATCGACGAGGAGGAGTTCTGTGGATAAGCTGAGGAATTCTGAGATAAATTGTATTTTTTCTCTGAGACAAATTGTGTGTGTAGGCCACAGTCCTTTTTCTTTGAAGTTAGGTGCTAAAATACTTAGGAATGAAGTGTCAAGGTATCTGCAACTTACTTCCAAATGATTCAGAATTTTCCCCCCCCTATTGTGTATGTGTGCATGTGTAAAGATAAAAAAAATGTAGCAAAAACAATAACTGGTGGATCTATTGTTTTATGGAGTAGTTCTAATTTCTCTGTAATTTGAAATTATTTAAAAAAAATTTTTTTAAAGGTTTGTTCATACAAGAACTGGGGTACAGGCCAGTTCTTGTATGAACTGTGTGTGGGGTAGGGCGGCGAGGGGGGAGGTGAGAGGATTCACCAGAGACAGAGTGGGGAACAGAACAGGCAGATTGACTGAAATCCACTGCTGAGGGGAGCAGCAAGTGAGGCACAAGAGGTCTGCTGCACCATGTGAGTCAACTCCCTGGCTGGGAATCAAGCTTTTGCTGCAGTGGCTGCAGATAGTTTCATAGTGCTGTGCTTTATCACTTGTGCTACTGTGGAGGCTACAGTTTGAATATTTTCAGTATGAAACACTCAGGAAAACACTCAGGTGTTCACTCATGTGAACACCACCACATATGAATGTTAGACATTACACACATTTATAAGATTTAGATATGATTAAATACGAATAGCTAAAAGTTTGTGAGTGTGCATTAGCTTTCATTTCAGAAAACAATCAGTCAGGTCCTCCCTGATGGTGCACAGGGTTAAAGCATAGCCCTATGAGACTATCCACAGCCACTGTAGCACAAGTTCAATTCCCAGCCAGGGAGCTGACCCACATGGCAGAGCAGACTTCTGTCCACAACTGCTCCCCTCAAGCAATGTATTTCAGTTGATGTACCAGTTCTGATCCCCACTCTGTTATTGGTGAGTCCTTTCACCCCTGGCATCTTTGGCTTGTATGCATATATAAATGCATCTTTAAAAAAAATCAGTTATATCTTTCAATTCAAATGTGAAAATGAAAGTTAATTAAAAATAATAATAGTGCCATATGTATAATGATTTTTTTCCTGTCTGTCATAAAAAACACCACATGTAGATCTTTAAACCATTTTTTTAAAAAAAAGATTTATTTATTTATTCATACAGAACCGGGGTACAGGCCAGACATG